TCGCTGAAAAGAACAATTTTTCCCCTTGACTTGGAAACGCACATGCGCTGCGTAAAATTACTTTCTGTCGGGGAACGTTCCACCTGATTGAGTAGTCTGGGCGCGAGTAGTCCAAAAGGACTGTAATCGGTAAAAGTGATTAACATTTCGACAATCTGAGCGTGTTATCATCACAGACGAGTACACACAACTGAGAGAGGTATTCATTTTTTGTCGGGAAAGACATTATTCAAAGTAGTTAACTCTCAAGACGTAGCCGTGAGCACTTGAAACTGACTATAAATTACGCACAAAAGATGGTTTGCTGAAAAGAACAATTTTTCCCCTTGACTTGGAAACGCACATGCGCTGCGTAAAATTACTTTCTGTCGGGGAACGTTCCACCTGATTGAGTAGTCTGGGCGCGAGTAGTCCAAAAGGACTGTAATCGGTAAAAGTGATTAACATTTCGACAATCTGAGCGTGTTATCATCAGGGACGAGTAAAGAATTGTTACTCAGCAGTCGAGTGGTCTAAGTGTAGAGAGGGGGTAACTTGCTGAAGAAACTGTGGTGCTGTGTCGACGGGAGGAGTGGGTATTAAGGGATAACTTTGTTTTATAAACTGAGCTGATGATGTAAACTGGCCACAGTAAAGAGTTTCCAAAAGATTTGTGGGTTGTGTGTGGTTCCGAGATTGGTTAATGAAAATTGATTGGCTAGTTTTTCCTTAATGTCATTGGCTTCAGTGTTTACGCAGTTTTCATAATTTACACGAGTCTTTTCACTAATTTCGGGTTTTCATTTAAACTCAGGATGTCCAGGGTCTGTCACAGCTGGAAGCAAGTTGCTTCAGAAGCAATGTTATGGCGAGAAGTCAATTTATCAACAATGAGTATTGAATGCCCCAGATCTGCTATCGATTCCACAATTGAAAAGTTAGCGGCGTCAAAACTAAAAACTGTCAGAGAGTTGAGCCTAGACGGATGGAGTGAGTTAACAGATACAGGACTAAAGGTAGGGAACCAATTTTCTAGTTCAGAAGATGGAAACTAATTTTTGTCTGTAGGTGCGCCTGTAAGTAAGCATGTCAGTCTTATGGCTGTGCACGTGGTCAATGTCCCACAGGAAATTTAGAGGATCAAGTGTGTGTGTGTGTGTGTGTGTGTGTGTGTGTTGGTAACCTGCATGGAGCAGGTTACGATATTTGTGCTGTCCTTTCCTAACAACTTAACCCCGACTCATCACCGCCCTACCTAACTCAGAATTAGTTGTTTGCTTGTTTACGGTGGGTAAGGGTAGCTTACTCTAGGAGACATCGACCAAAGGTAAACCATTCATACGCCGAATGCAAATATGGCGTCCAATTTTAATTGCTATTGTTCTGGACTGACTAGCCTCGTCTTCACGAGGAAATACAAAAGGATTATTACATGTGTGAGAGGCTAGTCAGTCCAGAACAATGGCAACTCAAATTGGACGTCATATTTGCATTCGGTGTATGAGATTCTTAAGACAAGCAAGATCCCATTTTTAATCGATGTTGTCTTGGAGATCCTAAGTCATGATCGCTTATTCTGCATATCATATTAGAGTCGATTACGCTTCAAGTTCATTCAGTAATTCTAAGATCGTCGTAAATGAACTACACATGAACAAATAACATCAGAACGACTTATTGATTTACCGACACTTTTATAAATAACTTTGTGTTGTTATGAAAAAAGAGTCGTTCACTTAGCCCCTTATCAATTGCACAGCCTATCACGTCACAAGTTTTCCAAGATCTTTTCTTCAGTGGTGATGCCAAACCTGTTTGTTGTCAATCGCCGATAAGTGGAGAAGACCGCTGATCACTGATCACTTTCTTCTTTAATTTTTTGGTTAAGGCCATAGGAAAACACTGTCGCTCTCTGCAGTCTGTTGTGCTGTCCCAGTGCGGGAGTCTGTCATCGAAAGGCGTGTCTTCACTGGCTTCAAAGTGTCGCCAACTGAAGATGCTCGATGTCGCTATGACAAAGGTAATAAATACTCAAGCAGACAATTATGGCAAATATGACAAGCAGAAAATATGTAACTTAAGGCGCAATGAGTTCTCATGCACAAGGCAAGTTAGTCTTTAATTCTTTTTACGCTATGTTTCAGAAATGTATGTCTAAAACATTTCTTACACTAATTTTTCCTTTATTGATAACAATTTGTTTCTGAACAGGAGCGAGAGAGAATTTACCAATAAGCAGCGTTATAGTATAGAGCGACTTATTATAGGATACCCCATGAAATCCCTTTTTCCTTCATTTGCTGCTCAAATTTGTGTAGATAAGTTTGCTAGTTAGCTAGTTTGAAGAAACCCTTAGATATTGTATGTCTCAAGAAGTTAGCAGGGGTAGAGATGAAATCAATCGTTTCGCCTTACATTGATAACTTAAATTTTGGGTGCAGTAATATTCGTTCATCAAAGTAGAAAGGTTTTACACCTTTGATTTTTACGGATTACAGATTGACATCCCATGGCTCCACCGTCTAACTAAGCGATTAGGAAATCAGTTGGAGGAGCTTTGCCTAATGAACTGCAGTCGGCTGGGAGGCGAACAAGTTCTTCCTATAATACAGGTTCGTAATAAAACCTATTTGTGAACCGTTATTACTGTTATTGTCCTGTTATTCATTAGAACATGGGCTGCAAAGTACGGTCGCTGGTAAAATTCTGCAACTCCCGCGGTAAAACGTGTAAACTGACGGTCGATTGGGAATCTCCACCACCAGTCCAGAGAGGGTGGAATGTATGTTCTCATTTAATGACTCTCGCGAAAACTGAAGAGATTAGATCCAAACTGAACTATTTATGAAAGTTAAGCCGCACATTCCCTATAACCGTCACAGAAAAGGAGGCGAGCCTCAAGATAGATCATATCATCAAAATATTGTATTGAAACTCATCCACGCTGTGTGCTATTTCCAGGAGCGTTGTCCTGTCTTGACTGCTCTCGATTTAACTGGTACTAATATCAGAAAACTAAATGTAGAAAAGCTGCAGGTAAGAATCCAAGTCAGGAACGTCTATGTTTTCTATCCTTGTCCATTTCAGTTTCTTCTGAGTAGAGCATCGGGTTCGATACCGTATGGGTGACAAGACGAAAAAAAGATACATTTCTTTGATTTTCAGGCTGGTTGTCCAAAGCTTAAAGAACTGTTCCTGGCCAACCTACTCCTTCACTCGACTCCTATAAGCACTGACGTGGTAGGATTATTTCTACAGTAAATCACATGATTATTCGTCAAGTTGTTAGAAAATACCACGCTAAGTGCCAAAGGACAAAAGGGCCGTCAGTAAATAAGTTAGTCATTATGGAGCAAATTATGGTTTGATTGTGTTTTGGATATCTAAAATTAATTAGCAAAGACCTTGATGACATTTTGACTTGGTTTGCCTCTCTAACTAAAAGTAAACTAACACGGGGTATCACCGTAGATCGGTGACGTCAAACATTCATAACGCGTTGTCATCACAATTATCATTTGCTAAGGGGCATTTTTCCACCTCTAGGAACAGAATGGGTTTCCCCATCTGGAGACACTTTGCCTGGCCTGTGGTTCTATCGCAGGGGTTCCAAGGACTGATCGCTTTTTGTTCAGGTTTGCAATGTATATAATTCTGTTCTGCAAAGTAACTGTAGGTAGCCTCATCAAAACATATTGGATTTGGAAAGAACGTAAATGGAGGTTATGATTTAGTTTTCACGAAATACAGCGCCTCGAAGTTCGTGGGTTTAAAAACATGGAAATAAAAACGTTAATGTAAATTTTGTTACAATACTATCGATTTATTTTCTGTTTAAATGCCAGTGAAAGATGCCCAAAGACAATTATTAGTAATGGAGTCCAGTTCTCCACTCAGAATAACACGCAAGTCCCAGAATACTGCATTGTGTGTTTAGTAGACTGAGTTAACTTTTCTTTGACCTTAGGCTCTTGAGAACCTCGACTAATCTAAAAAAGTTAGACGTGAGAGGATTACAGAGAATCAGCCCTGAAGGTTTACAGGTACAAATAAACCGACTCTATCAATATGAACTTCTACTCCTTCTTCTTTGCGAAAATGTAACGAACCTCTGGCCGTAAGTTGCGTGACATGCCTAACAACGGCTACGATGTAGACCATACTTTGTTTTGATCGGAGGGAAAAAAGACAACCATGACATGAAAAAAGAAAGGACCACAAGCGCACTTGGCACTTGTGAATGACATTTGTTGACTTGTTTTTGTTTGCGGTCATTATTGCTTCTGATATGGTCCAGTCTTTTTGAAAATTGACTCGAGAATCTTTCTATGGTTGTTCTGCAGGGATTACCAATAACTTCTCTTGAAGAGTTGTATTTCTCGGACACACACGCTTCATTTGTTCTGATGTCAGTTGTGATCGAAAAGGTAATATCTCTTTAGACGTTATGTGCCGAGAGAGCCTTGGCTAAATATCCGAGAGAGTTTCGCTCTGACGAAGGACTAACACTCGAAACGTCATCTTAGAAACTCTAAATGGTGGCCAATTTACTTTATCAACTCAGTTGATAAGACCGAATTATTTTGCTATACTCCCCCACCGACGCAGCACAACAGTTTCTTTAGAAATTTATCCCCTTTATCTACAACAGTAGTTTTCCGATATTCCAGTAGAGATAAACGAAAACAATCCCATATCTATGGAGAACTTTTCCACGAAAAGTCGTAAACCAGAACCGATATAACCAAAATGGCCAACCACATCCCAAAAATATATATATGTACTCTGAATCTCTTAATTTTGCCAATGTCTCTATAGGCTAAGAGGCTAGCGGGCTATCTCTAGACAAATCACAATGGGACAAAGTAAAACCACTGCAATCCGAACTTGCCTTATGAAATCGTATAGAAATCTCTCACCCTCTTCTGAAATTGTTACCGACTTTATCTTTAACTGATTATATAACTCTCCCAAAATAACATTCGTTTCCACATCAGCTTGTTTGCATCCTTTTTTTTAATTTCAGTGGCATCATAGTTTGGAGATTTTGGATATTTCTTCCAACAGTGGTGTTAGTGACGAATCTATGGTTCTCATGAAAAACTTTGGAATGCCCAGGCTGTTCAATTTAGATCTCGGTAGCACAAATCTTACAGCCGAAGGTGTGAGGTGAGTACTTACTTCCTTAGCTTTTCTTAGTGCTCTGCACGTCTTTGTAGAATACAGGGATGGAGAAAATTCTTTGAATGTAAGCTTTGCATAAAAAATTAGCGCTCGATTTCTGATCATCGTACATAGCGTAGTCAGTCAAAGCATTCGCACCAGAATATCGATTAACATCGTGGCAAAACAAATTCAGGAAACTTTCATGGCTTTATGAAATTAGCCTATACTGAATTGCTTTGATTCCAGAAATTTGTAGCTGAAGTACTTCAATTTTATCGTACACGTAGTTAGACTTGAAAGTTGCGAACATGAAAGTTAGGCCTACTCTGGGGCCTTAAGTCGCCGTAACTTTGGGTGACTTTGGACGATTTAAGGCGACTTAAGAAAATTGGTAGAAAAAACGTTGCGACTTTAGGCGATTTAAGGCGACTTAAAGCGATTTTATTTGACTGAAGTGATAAAATCAAAGTAAGCAACAGTCTCTCCATAAAATTTAAAAATATTTACAGAATCCCTTGCAATAAACACAATATGATTAGAGTGGGTTGAATGGCGTCAATTGGGAAGGGGGGAACCCTTATAACATTTCGTAACCAATAGCGACTTAAGGCAACTTAAGGCGACTGTAGGCAACTTTACGCAACTTCAGGCGACTTAAGGCAACTTAAGATCCCGGAGTAGGCCTAAAGTTCGTGCAGAGTGCATGGTTATTTCGGTTACGCCGGCAACATAGCAGACATCTTGATAAAGTGCAACGCAGCATCGCACATAATTAATTGCCTTTCTTCCTTACGTGTGTAGAAAAGCTCTAAATGCCAGCCCAAGACTCAAGCATTTAAATTTGACGTCATGCCGTGGAGTTCCTAGAGGTCTGAAACAGTGGCATGGTGGAGCAAAAATTCAAAATTTGATCTCTACATTGGAGGAGCTGGAGTCTGGGGCGAACGGTGAACGACGACGAAGTGAATGAAAAAGGATAGTGCACTACGGGAATAGAGCGAGTAGATAGTGTGGTCTCTGTTGGAAACACATAACTCTGCGGTGATCGAACGTAGCGCAGTCGCTGTCAAAAAAGTGGTTGAGATTAAGGACACAAAGGGCTTGCACCAAAATATTTGCCTCTAACGGTTAACTCACTACCAAGTTTGAATACATTTTTCTAATCTTTGCCATCAGCGAAAACGTATAGAAAAAAGGAAATAATTTTCCGAGTCCATGGAAAGACCCTTTGCCCTTTCACTTCTGTGGTCATTCGCTCCTGCCCTGCGTGTTTTCAACCACCACTAATCGCGCATGCTCATTCACGCCGATCAACAGGAAAATTTTGAATCTAAAAGAAAGTCTTGTTCAGTCGTATCCCGCTTTTTTTTTTTTTAATTTTTACCTAAAAGTAAATCTTCATCTTCTGTTCATATGTGCTTCTAACTACAAAGTGATTATAGAAACCACGAAGCAATTTATTGATCAATTTATATCAGGTTTCTAGATTGTCGAGACGATCCATTAAACATTTCCTTGCTCAACATTTAACTAAAAATCGATCTCTAAACGGCGTTAGCTGCTGTTCACATGTGAATGCTGCGGGCAACAATAAAGAATCGCTGAAAATTTTGGTAGATCTTGGCAGCGTAACGATGTTAAAAGACAACCCTATTTCCGCATAAAGGGGGTAGGTTTGACGAAACTGTGGTGCTGCGTCAGTCAGGTAATCAAGGCACGCGGAGCGGATTTTCAAGTGGGGGGGCTAATGCGAACGCGTTAGAGTGAGCCAACTAGGAGGTCCAGGGGCATGCTCCCCCGGGAAAATTTGAAATAAAGTCTTTTGAAATGGCTAGAAATGGATCGAAAACTGCCAAAAGTGAAGTTAATTTTTAATTCTTATAAAACAACGAGAAACAAACTGGCCTTCACGTTTGACCAAATTTAAATGAATAGACTAACTTCTAAGTAAAAAAAAATAGTGATTTAATCAGCCATAAAAGTGGGAGGGGGCTAAAGCCCCCCAGCCCCACCCCCTGCGCAGTCCCTGGGAATATAAGGAGATGGTTTGGTTTTATCAAATAAATAATGTAATGTAAATTGGCCACCGTAAAAAGTTTAAAACTGTTTCGAGCGTTAGTCCTTCGTCAGAATGAGTGACCAGGACAGAATTGCAATATCAGTACAAGGCAAGTGATGCCTGATGGGAATACAAAAAAAAGACTATCAGTCAGTGGATTATTAGTTGATCCAATAACGTCTTCTCCAAACTCGCATCATGAAAATTGTTCGGCAGACAGTAAGAAGAATTACTAATAAGATCTTGGGAGTGGAAGGGTTAAGTAATAATTCCAAGCTCTCAAAGAACAACCGAGAGGCCGAACTTTGAATCACTGAGAGAAAAGGTTTGTACCTTCGCTAAACGAACAGAGCAGCAAGCAACAGGGTCACGGCTGTTTCCAGCTGGAAATTTAGTTCGCGCATGCGGTCTACAAGAAACATCGAGTTAATTATTACTTCTCTGGTTAATACCAAATTACGCGTTTGCATAAATCTAGCGTCCATGGCAACCCCTCGGGCTAAGATCTAGTTTAGCCAATGAAATCTTAGTATGTTTGTAATGTATGCGAGTGAAATTTGGCATGGCGGATGCTTGAACATGGACGAGACAGTTGCTGTCGAAAATTTGACCAAAATCGGTCAAATTTTGCCTGTGTTCGGCGAAAACACGTTGCTATAGTGGAGTCTAACAAGCACACCTTTTGAAATCGACTGAAAACTTTGATTTTGATCTGGGAAAGTCCCGAATTTTTCCAGCAAAGCGAGAGTCACCAGAGAAGACTTGAAACCTTACTAAACAACTGATAGAGGTAAGTGTTTTAATCCAAATTGTTTGAAACTCCATTCAAGGTGCTCTTAATATACCAAGATCGGCCGTTTTGCGACTCCATTTTGAATTTCAGAGACACTGAATTTCTGACAGAGCTACCCTTACCAAAGTCTAGTTTTGGTTCCAAAGAGTGCGGCAACACTTTTATTCGTCTAAGACATCTTTCGCAAATAAATTACACTAAATTTAAATACATAGTACTTGTAGTTTCTAGTTAAGTGCAATGCATTGTGGGTTGCAGGAGGCAGCCATCTTGGAAAAACGTGTGTGTCCGGAAAATAAWGTGTGTTGTGTTTTCGGGAAAATCCAGTCTATTTTACCAGCCATCCAGCCCCGACAGTACAGTACCAGGGCTCGAATTTAATTTTTGGATCACTAACCCATCGGGTTAGTAGACATCTTTTTTACTAACCAAATGATAAAGTTTGGTATCCAAGCTGACAATTTAAGTAACGATATCTCAAATATTGAACATTTTGATAATAACGACTAGGACAAATTAAAGAGTAGCTGAAATTGCATGGTGACCTTAAAAACGTTGACAATTATGCACCTATTTTATTTCCCTCTCGTTTACCATGGTTGGTTGAACAATATAGTGTTTCTTTCGAGGAACTATTGGCTGATAGTTGACCCGCGGAAATTTGATGTTCTTAAAACAAATATGCTAGTTTTAAGAACATCAAATTTCCAAGGGGCAACTATCAGACCGATAGTTCCGAGACATAAACACTCTATTGTCTTATCGTTCACCACTAAATTTTCTTCCGCGCGCCAGATCAATCAAATATTTATTCATGCGTACAGCCTGTCATAAANTTTGGGAGCTTTCCCAGCTTACTCCGGACATATACATTGCAAGTGTAAAGGGAAGTGTTTCACTCATTTGCTTTTCGTTTTAAATTTCTCTCCTTAGTTTGGGAGCTTTCCCAGCTTACTCCGGACATATACATTGCAAGTGTAAAGGGAAGTGTTTCACTCATTTGCTTTTCGTTTTAAATTTCTCTCCTTAGTTTGGGAGCTTTCCCAGCTTACTCCGGACATATACATTGCAAGTGTAAAGGGAAGTGTTTCACTCATTTGCTTTTCGTTTTAAATTTCTCTCCTTAGTTTGGGAGCTTTCCCAGCTTACTCCGGACATATACATTGCAAGTGTAAAGGGAAGTGTTTCACTCATTTGCTTTTCGTTTTAAATTTCTCTCCTTAGTTTGGGAGCTTTCCCAGCTTACTCCGGACATATACATTGCAAGTGTAAAGGGAAGTGTTTCACTCATTTGCTTTTCGTTTTAAATTTCTCTCCTTAGTTTGGGAGCTTTCCCAGCTTACTCCGGACATATACATTGCAAGTGTAAAGGGAAGTGTTTCACTCATTTGCTTTTCGTTTTAAATTTCTCTCCTTAGTTTGGGAGCTTTCCCAGCTTATTCCGGACTCGTGGAGATGTGGTGATTAACAAGGATTTGACGTAATCTCGTGACCTTTTTCTTCACATAGTCAAAGTGCTGAGACTGGGTATTGAATTCGGAGTGTATTCCTTCAATCCCTTGTTCACCATAGAATCCAAGACCCATGTGCCATTGTCGAAGGAAAAGGCACACATGTTGTTCTAGCATATGGAGCTTTGGTGTGATCGTCATATCTGGGAATTGTTGCCAAATGAACTGAAGAAAATTTGTGATGTCTTCCTCTGCAACAAGAAAACAAGAAATGGTGGAACAGACTTGAGACATAATCTTATTATTGTATTTATGTTTTCCATGAAAGACAGGTTATTGTTTCACTTACCTAGCTTATTAATCTTGTCATCATTGACTGAGATAGTCTGCACTGTTATAGACGAAGTAGCAAGCAGCAAATAACTTGAAAACTTGTTCAAACTTTACACCAATTTCCTCTCGCTTGGGGAGGGAAGGAAGGACACAGTTCCTCTGTTTTTGTCACCAAAGCACTGCATAGTTTAATGATGCTGTCGTCCTACAAGGAAAAAAAGGAACACAATAATATAGTACAATTTTTTGACTCAACCAATTCCTTCTAAGGGTAAAATTTGTGTTACCTTGCAGCAAGTGTGTACATGGTTACCAATGAATAATTTTCCATTGTAAGCTTGTCTCTCCACATTCATTTTCTTAAGAACTTCATCCAAATGAATTGATAGTGGTCCATTGGCTTTCTCAAAGGCGGCCAATTCCATTTGTTTATCTGCAAGCTTTTCCTGTAATGTTGCAATGATACTATTAAAATATGGGTTACTTTACTTGCTGTTTAGTAGCCATAATTTGATGGGTTGTTAAATTGATTTGTGCTAGTGTAATATTATAAATCAATGAACTATAACACAAAGCCATAACTTCCTCTACTAAAAAATGAAGATGGGTTTGAATCATGTGCGATGCAATTGGAGGATTGTACAGCCGTGATAAGGGAAAACACAAATCTAGAAAAAGTTACCTCCTCCTTTACATTTCTAAGGAGTTTGTCTATCTTTTCCTGTTTTAGTGTAAAGTAGGCTGGCATGATATTTACACTAGAATGCAGACTTTGCTTTGTAAATTCAGCAACTCCTGTAAAGAACTTGCTTTCTCATGAAATTGTTGTGCCTGTCTACTATGTAGTTGGGCAGCTCTNCATAACTTCCTCTACTAAAAAATGAAGATGGGTTTGAATCATGTGTGATGGAATTGGAGGATTGTACAGCTGTGATACTGGAAAACACAAATCTAGAAATAGTTATCTTTTCATCATTCTCCTCGCTTTATAATCTTCTGCCAGCGCCATTTGATTTGTTTTGTCCAGCTCAAAGCACTGGTTCTCTAGTTCATCAAACAGTTTCTTAAACACACCCAAGCTAATATGAAGTCCAGGAACACAAACCCGAAATAGAGAACCATTCAGTTAGGTGTCGTGTTGGTCCATCTTAAAAGCAAAGAAATAGACTCTTTTATCTTACCTTGTCAAATTCAATATCTAGAACTCTTTTATCTTACCTTGTCGAATTCAATATCTCATGAGTCACATTGTGATAAAACTTCTGTCGACTTGTAACAGAGCCATCTGCGACAAACTTGTCATAGTCCTCTCGAATGTTTTCAAGGCTTCGTTTTTCAGCATGCTCACGTTTATAGCAAGAGACTTGCATCACTTCGTGATTTATCTTGCACCAAAGACATGGATACTTGCCTGCAAATACAATTCTCATGTTGAAAACCTGTTTCACAGAAATAGTAATGTAGAGTAGAGGCTACACTTATATTATTTTAGTAAATTGCTCAATCATAGTTATTTGTATGTGTGATTAATGTCTAGATCATACCTGAGGCACCAGCTATTCCAAATGTCTTGCAAAGGAATTCATAGTCACCAAATAGGAAAACCACTTTCTTTTTACCTCTAGAAATTGGCAAAATGAAAAGAAGAATTTAATTAAGAAAATGCTAGTCTCTATCCTCTAGACTAATTTAAAGTGTAATACATTTTTTGTTACTCACCCCCAGGTTGTTTCTTTCAAGGTGTTTACTTGTTCTTTATATTTCATTAAGGCTGTCTTTAAGTTGGCCCAACTATCTTTTGCATGGAACATGGCAAAGACCACTGTGTTGGTTTTTGAGTTTGGATGCCTCAGGTTAGCAATCTGGAAGGCCATTTTAAATGACCCACCTCCAGCATCTCCTCCAAGTTTTAGGTGGACCTCATTTTCTGGGATGGCATTGTTCCATGCCAGCCTTCCATTCCTAAAATAATGACCAACTCTAATAAGACTATAATTCACAGCAATAGGCAACAGCTAACTTTCTTCAATTTTAATCATTTGTCTGGTGATTGCATTTACTTTTTTTTTTAACCATTAAATTTTCTTTATTGTCATACTTTTCATTTTCAACCAGATGAAGATGTATGAATTGGTTCAGGTCTGCAACATATCCAAACTCTGCTTCCCTGATCTCTGGATGGCAACCTGGTTTTTCTAATTCAAATGGAACCATTTCACAAACCAAGTTGGCATGAGGGTCAGTGATGGACTGAACTTGCTTTCGTTGGCTTATTTCGCTCTCTGAGGATAGTCCTCCCTGTTCAAACCATCTGTAGAGACAATAGTCATCATGATTTTGTATGCAGATTGAGGGTATTCAGGAAATTGGCAAATTTGGATACAAACTCAAAACAGTTACTGTTACTGATATTTAATGCAGTTTTGGAAAAGTTTGTAAGATTTTTTTGTTCATGTTTTTCTTACCTCCTAAGCTTTCTGACTTTGTACCATGTTTTGCCAAGGTCTGCTTTCATTGCCAGGATGTCACCTCTTGGAATGGTGATTTTAAATTATTTTCCCAAGGCCTCCTTCAGAAGTTCCTCCCTCTCCAGTCTGCCCATTGCTCGCAGTTCATCTTTCAACTGGGTACCAGCTGCCCCACTACTCAAAGCTATCCTGGTCTCCCCTACTACCTTTGGTCTTTGTCTAGCAGTTTTCCTTGTTACCTCATCAGTTGTTTTCCTTGCCCTGGTCCTTTTAACCAATTCTAAGGGCTGGAAATGAATTATCTTAACTTTTGTTTTGAAAATGAATGTCTTTATTTTTAACTTAAAAAAAAATTGTTTATTACCTGGCCACCTGTTTTGAGGAGAATGGTTGCCCCATCTTGAGACTGTGAAAGAAACTGGTGAATAATGAACAGTCCAACTTCCCTCTTTAGGGATGTATAAACTTCCTTTGGGGCAGTTAGCAGTTGGTTTACTGTCAGCTCTCCACAGCTGGTTGTTGTTGCTGGTCCATTTTCCACTGCTGCAGGTAGAGGTTTCACTGGGACTGATCTTTGCAAAGGAGTTAAAATGTGTGGGTGCTGTTGTAGGCTGTGGAATGCAACATTCTTGATGCTGTGGTAGTTGGTGGAGTTTTGCTGTGTGTGAACAAGAAGGACATCGAAAATCTAGTTCTGAAAGTATTGTGCGAAGAACAAAAGGGGCTGGCTCAATTTTCAATGTTTGTTCAGCACACCGGGCAAAGGGATCCACACGTTTCGAAAGAAAATGATAAACAACTAGCACAAAACATATGTGGCGTTGGGCATTTTTTCTGGACTGGTTGATCTAGTACCTCTGCAAATTGGGCACATGTACTCGTGCTTGATGTTTTCAAAAAACTGTTCTGGGTAAAGAGGTTCTGATCCTCGATAGCTTTCTAGACTCTTTACCTCCTCAGAGAATGAGAGTGTGGCTGGGTCTGGTTGGAAGCATAGAGTACTAGACATTCCTTCCACCATTTCCACTGGTTTCTTAGGTCCAGCTGTCGAGTCCTCTCTGGGCTTTACACCAGGTTTACTCTTCTTCTTCCTGCTAGGTTTCTGATGATCTTTAGGAACTGCAGATCTTACAGTTTCCAGATCGTCCGTGAGGGGGCTACACATTAATTGCAAGGCGTGTGCCTCCTCTTAGTGCAAGCTTATAACACATGTGGCAGAACTTGGGAGGGCACAAATGGAAAGTCACAAAGAATCGCTGGGGTACTCAGCATTCCAACGGGTTGAAGTCCAACTTTAATGATCCAGTTCAATTTCTATGTGAAAATTACCCACAACTCTTATCGGGCTACTGTTCTAAACAAAATGGCGGACAGAGTGAAATGTATATTTGAAACCTTTGTTTGAGTTTTCACCAAACAAGAGTCGGAAGTTTTTCAAATTTAATATGATTTTCTGTTGAATTTTGCAATAATTAAATGTCTAGAAAATCCAAAACGTCAAAGGGTATCCTTGGATTACCCAAGAAAGCAGAAAGACAAGTATTTGTGTTTGGGCGATTTGCAGAAGAACTCCCGTCCGATGATAGCGATGANTCTTTGCAAAGGAGTTAAAATGTGTGTGGGTGCTGTTGTAGGCTGTGGAATGCAACATTCTTGATGCTGTGGTAGTTGGTGGAGTTTTGCTGTGTGTGAACAAGAAGGACATCGAAAATCTAGCTCTGAAAGTATTGTGCGAAGAACAAAAGGGGCTGGCTCAATGAACTTATTTGGATTTTCAATGTTTGTTCAGCACACCGGGCAAAGGGATCCACACGTTTCGAAAGAAAATGATAACCAACTAGCACAAAATATATGTGGAGTTGGGCATTTTTTCTGGACTGGTTGATCAAGTACCTCTGCAAATTGGGCACGTGTACTCGTGCTTGATGTTTTCAACAAACTGTTCTGGATAAAGAGGTTCTGATCCTCGATAGCTTTCCAGACTCTTTACCTCCTCAGAGAATGAGAGTGTGGCTGGGTCTGGTTGGAAACGTAGAGTACTAGACATTCCTTCCACCATTTCCACTGGTTTCTTAGGTTCAGCTGTCGAGTCCTCTCTGGGCTTTACACCAGGTTTACTCTTCTTCTTCCTGCTTGGTTTCTGTTGATCTTTAAAAGAACTGCAGATCTTACAGTTTCCAGATCGTCCGTGAGGGGGCTACACATTAATTGCAAGGTGTGTGCCTCCTCTTAGTGCAAGCTTATAACACTTGGGGCAGAACTTGGGAGGGCACAAATGGAGAGTCACAAAAAATCGCTGGTGTACTCGGCATTCCAACGGGTTGACGTCCAACTTTAATGATCCAGTTCAATTTCTATGTGAAAATTACCCACAAGTCTTTTCGGGCTACTGTTCTAAACAAAATGGAGGACAGAGTGAAATGTTTAATTGAAACCTTTGTTTGAGTTTTCACCAAACAAGAGTCGGAAGTTTTTCAAATTCAATATGATTTTCTGTTGAATTTTGCAATAATTAAATGTCTAGAAAATCCAAAACGTCAAAGGGTATCCTTGGATTACCCAAGAAAGCAGAAAGACAAGTATTTGTGTTTGGGCGATTTGCAGAAGAACTCCCGTCCGATGATAGCGATGACGCAGATTTTACCATACTGGAAGGTCAGGAGATAAAACAACGATAGCGTAAAGAGAGCTTTTTTATACATATGATGTTTTGAAGAGTTCATCCTTTAATCCGTTGAAAATGAACTTGCAATTCAAATTCGATGGCGATCGCTACTCGCTGACCACACATCAGTTAATTAGATTTTGCCCTGGTGTCTTTATGATAGACATATGACTAACGGCGAGAACGAAATCTCTTACAGCTATCTTGCAAAATTCCTGCACCCTGATTCCTTGCCAGTGTGACTAAATAAAACAATTTGACCATTGATTGTAAGATCAACGAGGGTAACTATTATTTAGATGTTCATCGTGTTGTCACGTATAGTTGGCTGTTACATGTAAATCATCATTATTATTAATATGTCTGGTTTAAACCCAGGGTTAACTAGTAATGTAGTGTGATCATCCAGGTGAGTGTACTTCTCAGAAGGACTGATGTCAGTAGAAGTAACTGATGATTTGACAACCTGAGTAGAAATCATCATCAGAGAGGTGATGATGACTTCCACTCAAGTTGTTAAAACATCAATTAATTACTTCTACCGACCTCAGTCCTTTTAAGGGCCATACTCACCCAGCTATCAGACTACACTATTGCAATACTATGTCTATTTGTGTTTGAAGGTGCATGCTCAGTGAAATCTGGCTAGTGAGGTTACCAAGTTCCATTTTGGTGTAGTTTGCTAGTTTTTCTGACAACCAGAACTTGATGACAGCTGTTGTTAATACATAATTGTCAACTGTCAGGTGGAGACAAGCAAAAACGACAAAAGAATGCCAAAACAAGAAAGTGTGGTAAAAAGGCAAAATCAAAGACAGTTTCCTCAAACAAGGATGGTGAGGGAGAGAAATCAAAGGAAAAGAACAGAATTGTCCAGAATGACTACAGAAAAACAGCATCCAAAAAAAAAGCTAAATTAGTTTCTTCTACAGATAACAAAGATATTCATGCAACAACTGAAGAACTTAATCAAACAATGAACAATACATCAGTGTCTACATGTATATCAAGTGGGTGGACAGAGCTAATTCCTACAGAAATCCTAATATCAATTTTCCAAAATGTCATAAAGAGTATTTCTGGGTCATCTGTACCATTTTTGTGCAAGTAAGTGCTTAAAAAGTGGAAGCTGCACCAGCTTATTTTCATATTTCTTTGATAACCCTTTGGCCTCCAAAACCGTGATATAAGTATTATTTTCTTTGCATTTGAGGATGTCAAGAGTCTGTCGCAGATGGAGGGAAGTTGCTATAGAGCCAGTTTTATGGAGAAAAGTTGATTTGTCCTCATCGTGTGTTATAAAGGCATCTACTGGGACAATAGAAAGACTGGCACCCAGCAGGTTAACAGCTGTCACAGAGCTGAGTCTTTTAGGGTGGGAAAAACTTACAGATAAAGGAATACAGGTAATCACTTTGCTTAGAGTTATGACTCACAGTGACTGACTGTAAGATTATTTTGAAAAGAACAGCTTGATTATTTACTTGTTGTTTATTTTGTAAAATAAGTTGTGCTTGATTGACATTTCAACTGCATACTGATAGTCCTCATCAGGCAATAAGGTAAACTGGTTTCAGATGTTCTTGTAAAGCAGCCATGCACAACTGTGATTGGTTGGTATTCCACAGCGGTGTTTGGCCCATTTTGATCCTCGCTGTTGGTGGACACCAACTGAACACTAACGGACACCAACCACTTTGGAATGAGGTTAAGTTTATCGATCATGATCCTCACTGGTACACTCACAGCGTCAAAGAGGCTATTTATGTAACACTTCACCCTAACAACATCAACAGTGGAATAGAAATTCCTGAAGGGTGGATCCCCACTATTAAAAAACACAACAAACAGAGAACCATATGACAGCCAACAGCCAAGGCAACAGCTAATATCGAGGATCCAAACGCATCAATCACAGCTGTGGAATACCAATCAATCACAGCTCAGTATCCTCCTTTACAAGAACACCCAAAACCAGTTGACCTTATCACCCAATAAAGACTAGCGGTATGCTGTCAAAATGTTGTGATTCACATCACAAGTGACCACATCATGAGACAAACAATAAAACTTTGTTATTTTTGTTAATGTCAGTTTCCTTAAGTTTGTATTTGATATTGTCTCCAATTTTCTAGAATGGTGCTTTGCTTTGTTCTTATTTTCTTTAACAAGTTACATAGTATCTGTGAAAGATTTACAGACTGAGATCTCATGACCAGTCAGAGTATACAATCATACATCTATCAGCATGCACCACTTTCATGTGGGTTTTCATCTGGTAGGTTGGGAAGGTGGCACCAAATTGATATATATGATATTGAGAATAATAAAGTAAAACAAAATGAAACCAATATCAGGCTACTCTTTCAACATTCCTAACGCTTTAAAATAGTTCTTTTAATTACTACTTTTACACCACATTTACATCAAGGTCTTGCTTTGATTTACATCAACATTGTTTAGAGAAAGATTGTAGTAGACCTGAAAATGAATTTCCTTTAATCTCACTGATGATTGTTTAACTGTTTGCGAATGCCATAATGATAGCCTATGATCCAATCAACTGATTATTTTCTTTATTTTTTTCTGTTACTGTAGACAATAGGGAAACATTGTAAACAGCTGCAATCTATTGTGCTAGCACAATGTCGGAGCTTGACATCTGCAGGTATTGCAAGCCTTGCTGATAATTGCGGTCAATTGAAGATGATAGATGTTGCATTTACAAAGGTAACAGTTTACTTGTGTATTTCAATTTATGATGAAAAACCTGGCACTCTCGAGATTAAAATTTTGGAAGCAGGTTTCTAAGGCCATTGTTTTTTTTTTGTTCAGTTATTTGGCAATACAACCATACAGTTGATACATGTGCATTTATCATTAATTTCTCTAATGGCAAAATGTAAGTAAATAAACACAATTATGTAAATAAACTTGACCTCCATTAAAAAAAATTTTCATAGATTTCTGTTGAAGAAGGGTTACAAAGTTTTTTTTTTTTCCTTGATTTTGGACTATGTGCATCCTTTTAGTGTCCCCAGTTCATAAGGATACATGAAAATGAGGGGCAGAAAGCTAGAAAACAAAGCAAAATGGTAAATAAATACAGAAACCAAAACAAAACAGAAACAAATAGGAGGTGAGGGTTGAGGGATGTGATTCAAACTACGTAATATCAATGTAAGATTAAAGGTTTTCAAAATGTTTGTTTAGATTGACATCACTGGCCTCCAACATATTGTGAAAGTGTTAGGATGTCAGCTGGAGAATCTAAGCTTGAGAAACTGCAATCGTGTGCAAGGAGAATCTATTCTTCCACTCATCCAGGTAAGAATACAATTGTTCCCAATATTCCCTCCAATATTTACAATACAATACAATATAATACAATATTCTTTATTTCGAGAGGGTAGATACATGATTAACCCAGTAAAGAGTTTTCTAACACATGGCCCTCTAATAAACCCACCCAACCCACCCCAGGGGAGGACATCCATCACACAGTAATCTCGTGTGTAGGAAATTAACATCTCCTACCCCTCCTACCCCTCCTACTCCTCCTACCCTTGACCAAATCTGTGCTGTAATTTAAATTTCTTTGGGTACTTTGCATTATTCCTCAAAATTAATTTAGAAAACTGCTCTTTCCTGTCAGGAACATTGCCCAAACCTGACCAGTCTTGATCTGAGCAGTACTAATATAAGAAAACTTTGCGTGGAAAAGCTACAGGTACAGTTGAGTTTACTACAACTTTCTTGTGATTGATTAACAGCTAAGGCAGACATCACACTTAAATTTAATCAGTTTGTATCTACATGTACTTTTAGTGTTGACATTTTCCTATCTGCTCTGATATCATAAAGACATGAAAATTTGTGTTAATCGTTTGTGTTTGAAACATTTTTCTGTAGGCTGGATGCCCCAAGTTGAAACACCTCTTTCTTGTCAATCTTTTGCTGACCTCAACACCAGTTTGTAAAACTCTTATCAACGGAAAGGTAATTTGAAATTAGGGGAAATGGTTCAGAAACTTTATCTTGACTGCATTCTGAAAATTGATTCTTACCAGAAACCAAATGGATTTCCAGAGCTGGAGACACTGGGTCTGCCTTGTGGGTTCATTGGCTATGATCAGAGAAATGACCGATTTTTGGATAGGTGAGTTACTCATTGAAATGATGAATTTGTTTGGAAATCTCTCCAATCAGACTACTCCCTAAAAGGCTTTGTCTCTCAGTTAGAACTTTTTCAGGGTTATAGCAAGGGATGGTCCTGGGGTGTCTGTGACACCTCATCCCCTTTGTGCGATACTTTTCCTTTTTTAGTCTATAACATACAAAACTTACACTGCAAGCTTGCGAAAACGCGCAAATCCTCAGTGCTAGATACTTTGTTTATGACAATATATAGTGACAATATAAGCCACTTCGCGTAAGGCGCGAAAAAAAATACCAGAATATGCACCAATAAACTACCTTGGGCATAGCAAAGGATGAATGTCCACATCACAATTGGCTTAAGTTTCGTAAGTAATTGGTTAAGAGGATGGCACTAGTTTTTTGGACCAAGCCTACTGCTTCGTAAAGCAAGCCTTACACCCAAAGGACAATACATGGACCGCTTATAAGCAACAGGATAATAAAGTAGCTTCATTTAAGCGCAAAGGAATACGTAAATTTTGTTACGACACGGCATCGGGAGCGAAACATCCTGGTGAATTTTGAAAGAAAATGAAGCCTCTTCGTCCTAATTCTGGCACGAATAAACTAAGTAACATAACTCTTGTTGAGAACGGTGTGGTCACGGCGGAACCCAGCCAGGTGGTGGAAATATTAAATAGCTATTTCGCCAATGTAGTTTCAACAAGTCACCGTGAAAATGATTTTAACGATCATCCAAGTGTAAAACTAATCGCTAGCAAAATGCTGCTAGATCAGTTTGTCTTCTAGTCTGTGAGTTGTGGCTATGTACGTGAAATCTTAGACAATCTAAATCCCCGGAAGGCTCTTGGCGTTGATGGAATTTCACCGCGTCTCTTAAGGCTCGCTGCTCCCATCCTAGCGGAGGAGATAACACAGCTGATTAACTATCTGATTATGAACCAATCATGGCCAACCGAATGGAAGAGTGGGAACTTGACACCGGTATTTAAAAAGGATGAGGATACACGCAAAGAAAATTATCGTCCTGTTTCCATTCTTACCACCATTTCTAAAGTGTACGAGAAGGTTATGTTTGACCAGCTGTACGGCGCTTTCCATGAACATCTTTCTCCGAATCTATCTGGGTTCTTGAAGAAACACTCTTGTTGCACCGCACTCTTGAAGATGACTGAGGACTGGAGGCGAAGCCTTGACAAAAGGGAGGCAGTTATAGCCGTGGCAGTGGACCTGTCCAAAGCATTTGATTCTATTAACCATAACCTCCTATTGGCTAAATTAAAAGCGTATGGCTCCTCTCCGTCTGCATTAAACTTGATTTCTTCCTATTTGTTGGGGCGAAGACAGCGAGTTAAGTTGTCCGGTGTTTGCTCCAGCTACTCAGAAGTAATGGTGGGCGTTCCCCAAGGGTCCCTCCTCGGACCGCTGCTGTTTAACATTTATATAAATGACTTGAACTACGCCATACCGGATGTATCTCTGAGGTTATACGCCGACGACACAACTATGTATGCCTCAGACGTCTCGCCCATGGTTCTCGAATTTGTAGTGAATAATGGTCTTGAGCGGTTATCATCGTGGTTTCGAGAGAATCATCTGGTGATCAACAACACAAAGACGCAAGCAGTACCCATTGGTCCCTGTAAGTANTGTGAAACTGGCCAAGAATATCAACCTTTTTAAGAAACTATTGCGAACATTGAAACTTTGGCTGCTTCACCATTTTATACCTGTATTTAAGAGACTCTGAATTTCATCGTACAAACTTAATTTTAATGTTAATTTTAAGTTATTTAATTGATTGAATCGCAGATTACTTTTTTAAAAAAGTATTTTAAGGAGTGATGTTATAGTTTTACGAAGAAAACAGAATATCGACGCAATTTGACCAATCATTTGGCCTCTGAGCACAAAGTCAATTCTTGCCTGTCGTATCACATCACGATTACCTTATTCCCCAAGAACAAGTTTTAACCCTTTAAAATGCGACGATAATGCATCATTTATCAAAGTGTTTCTCAAAACGGAGAAACATCGCACTGAAAGCGAATCTATTTTAATTGTAGAATTTTGTGGGCATCCCGCAACCTGAAAATGCTGGACATAAGAGGTCCTAACACGTATAGCCATGACGGATTACGGGTAGGTATTGCACATGTAAATGTCTCCACTCTGATTGGCTTAGAGAAATGCGGTTTTCAGGCGACACATTGTAGAAACATGAGGAACTAATAAGTGGTATTTGGTGCTTGTGGTCTCCGAGCGAAAGTGAAAAAAAAGGGGAAGAATCCACCTTTTGAAACTTTCTCTAACGATACTCAAAGCAAAATATCAATAAATGGGAGCATTTTAATCTGTTTTGCATTCTTAATTAAGTTTAAAACCTTTTAAACCGCTTATACAAAGTTGAAAAATTTATCAAACTAGTATCGGAAAGTTGAAGGCCTCAAAACTTCTTGAGGGTGTAGTGGGAACAATTAACATGCTTGCTTTCCCTTTCAATTTTACTCAAATTTGTTTCCCCTTTTTTCACTGGGTTCCATTTTAAAAACAAGTTCAGGTTAAATTACTTCACGAACAAAGCTGCTTGCACTCAATTTATTTCTGACAGGTTGAGTTTTCTTTTCCCACTGCATATCAGAGACTGCCAGCTTCCTCACTGGAACAGCTGTACTTCACAAACAGCGCCTCATTCAGTAAAGTTGCAGTCATTGTGGAAAAGGTACGGTTTCTAGGAAAATTTGTAAGTCAATTTCTACCTTGTCAATTAATCCTATTCTGTGGCCCCATCTTAGTCACTTTTGGGCAGATGTAATTTTCGCGATCCCAACTCAGTCGCTTTCTGTTTATGCATCCACGTTAGAAAGCATTCTAAATAGGTCATCCTAACATGAATTGACACGCTTGACTGCGAATCTTCTCATTTTTTAATCCCTCCTGACCAGAATTTTCTGGTAACTGGTAAATTCGCCCAATTACAAGTTCGCCTTGAATCTCCTTTGCTAATTCGTTCACCAATGTAAAACGCAAACTCACTATAGTAAATCCAGTCGTGAAAATGCGACCTATCCAGCGTCACATCCCCCCCCCTTAGCCTATAGTCCCCCCCTTCCGCGTGCCGGGTTTAAAGCTTTACCGAGTATATCTAAGTTTGTCCAAACCGTTCATCAGTGCGTCGCTGGAATTTCTCATTACAAATAAACTGCCCTCACTCTTTACAGCACTTTTCAATAACAAGCGAACTTTGGGGGTCTGGGCCGAACTTGCGATTTCTGCCAGACCCTGCTATTCATCATTATTGTAAAGGCGATCTAAAATAAGAGACAGACAAAACATGGATCGAGATTCACTACTCACACCAAGGAAAATGACCTTGAAACCCCTCTGAAATGATGTTTGTTTACCGAGAGGTGCGAAACACGATGGACATTTGCGATAAACAAACACATTTCAATGATTCATCTTTAACTCCAAATTCCACACGTTACTGCAGAGCACAGTATAAACTGGATTGTTATTCTTTCTCATGTTAGTGGCACCACAGTCTGGAAGTTCTGGATCTCTCACAGAATAAAACCGTTGAAGATGAAGATATGGAACTGTTGAAAAATTTTGGAATGCCGAAGCTACACACTTTGGATCTCAACAACACTAATATCACCGCTTTAGGCTTAAAGTAAGTGGAAGAGTTATCGTCAAGCAGACAAGTATACAAGTGACGTTTTCAGTATCTGTGTGACGTAGAATGAATTATCTAGAAGAATTACTTTCTCGTCAGGAAAGGATTCTATTCTCTCATAGGCTTCCCCCACCTACCTTCTACACAAAATTTGCAAGAATGTTCCCTGTACTTTCTGGTAAATAGAGGCAGTGGAGAAGTAGTTTCTCTTAACGTAAAAACAGAGTTATTCCACTTTTTCGTCTTATCGTGTCTAGTTTCCAGACAAATTATTTGGCTTTTGAATGGTTATTTGCCGTGTCACAGTGATGGCTGGGTAATTCTTAAAGGTTTTTTTTTTTTATGTACAGGGTTTGGGTAAGAATTACGATGTATCAGCGCACAGCCGCCCTGATCTCTCGAAGTGTTCGCAGATATGCGTGCAGTGATGTAATCTAGTATATTCCTTTACTGCAGGAGTGTGTTAAATGGTTGTCCAAACCTCACAGATCTAAACCTATCCTCATGTCGCGGACTCCCGCGAGGGGTCAAACAACGCCACCAAGGCGAGGCTGTTCTCAAACTACCACAGCGGCTGGTGGATAGTATGCAGCTTAGTAGTGACAGTGAATGAACGACTCCCCCCTTTCTTATTACATCATTAGCCTTGTGCCTCATACGTATTCACAACTAAATACGGCATTCTCCACAGAAGTTCGACGTGGAAGGGGTTACATTGACTTGAGCTTCTACACAAACCATCCTATGTTTAAGAATATGTAAACTTAGTGATCCATGTTGTTCAGCGGTGTGTTTTTAAAGAACGTTTTTAAAGCCAAACGGAATTTACGCGCAGACTTCTTATGATTCTTGTCCTACACACATACATGAAAGAAATTCTCTTTGTAGTGTCTTATATGTATAATAGAAATGTGATTTTACAGAATACGATCCTGTTGTTTCGTGTCCCCTGGAGACTGTGGGATGATCTCTCTGGCAACGGGCGTGTCTAGTAACTGAATTGTTTACCAGCACGAATCGGCAGAATTAGTACCCCTCCCCCCTCCCCTTTCCGCCACTGATCAAGATGATTTCTAAGGAAACAATTATAATAACAACGAAATGTTCACAACACTCTATGGTTATTGATATTGATTTAGTCAGTTATGAGTGTGTGATTACTTTATTGAGCGTTCCCATTAAAGCTATGATTAAAGTCGTTGTGTCGCTGGAAAAGAGAACTAATCCTGCACGGAGGCTACACCTTAACCGAGTCAGCGGTTAAATTTTGATAATTTGTGTGGGCAATGTAACGGATCTCTACCTAATGACCGCTTATCAAAAATGGGCGTGCTATCCAAAAACATACTATGCCTTAAATCGCACGATGTCTAGGTCACTGGCAATAGACATTCCATCGAATTTCATTCAACTTTCTCGCAATCTTCACGAAACCTACACTCACCATTACAGCGAAGCGTTTCACCTGTTGTATTTTTTACGAGACTAATTGGTAGGTTTTTCAAACTTTTAGCCAACATCACATCTTTGCATTGTTTCCAATGCTCTCTAGGTTACAGTCTAAACTTCGTCTACACACTTTGCCCCATTAGCCTCTGGGAGTGACTAAAATATAGTTTCTCTTTACTTTATCACAGTAAGATCTAACATTAAGGTCATAAGAATAAATGAAATGGTCACCAACTATGGAAGCTCTTGATTTTTCATCAAATCCTCCATGTCAGTAACAGGAGATGGATGGAGAAAAGCATGGAGAATAATTATGCTTAATAATATTAAGGTGAACGAGTTTAACACAACCGCAGCACGTTTCAAACTTTGTAGCAAGGGTTGAAGATCGTGAGATCTCAAGAATATAAAGTACAATATTCTAACAGACAGTTTGTTGTATTATCGTTTCGATTTGCAGAAACAAAGAAATTGCTGTTTGAGTCTCCCCAGAACACAAACCCTTTCCTTAATGAGCTGCTGTATAACGAAACCCTGCTACACAATCCAAATTAAAGTTGCAATAACCAAAGACGAACTGGAACATGAGCTCCTACGATTATCGGGTCCTCTGATTTAATGTATTGGCAAAAACACTGCTTCTAATTTGTTACCATTGATGTTGATTCTCTTAATGAATTTAAATTCTTAAGTTTCGAGGAGAAAGAGGAAATTAAATGTAAATTGTACTACGGTTGGTGGTAAGTTACATCCTAGTTCAATTAACCTGTCCTTTTGGACATCTGACGGAATATGTTCGAAATCAGACGGAAATATCCGAGATCGGAGGGAACAAATTAAGTGAGATACGACAGAAATGTAGCAAGACGATCACTGCATGTGCTGAATACAAAGTCAACCTGAGATTCTTTAGTAATGGGCGGTTTGTAATCATTGTTATCTTCATCTGGTCTTGACAACTGACACCTTTTTCTTCATCGCCACCCTCCCCCTCGTGTAAACTTTGTCTCTACTTTTCATTCCCAGTAACATTCGATCCTAAATCAATTCAGATTTGTCCACATGTTGTTTAGGTGATAACGCACCTTCTGGGGGTACATTCATGAGTCACTGGAAAAATGAACATCCTAGAACTGCAATCTGTGAAACGCAAACACTTTTGATCTTAATATAACAACAGCATCTGGGGTGACAACATATNTTAAAATTAAGAACCATCGACTCCAAGGAACCTTATCTTGTCCAAAGCTTTTTCTACCCAAAGCGCTTTGTTCCCCTCTGCGCCGCAAAGCTATGAAACGAGGTTTTCGAGCAAGTGAAACGATTCTGTCAATTTATGGGTTTGTTTAGTATGAAGATACAAGAATTTGGGTCATTTCACAACCCCCTAAAAATTCTAACATTTCTGAACTAGAAAAAAAAACCATCCAGAGTCACTGTGCCAGAGATATATCTCTCGAATCTGCTAGCCAGTAATTCAGAATATATCTCACAGTAATAATTATTAATATTATTATAGGTATTAGCCGTGGCATTTTTAGTAAAATATATTTCTCTACACTCTAATTTGGAATTTCCCTGCTTTGGTAAGATATTTCACTCCTTTGAAAGGCTTGTATTTCTAAGGGAAAATAGAGAAAGACAAAACACATATGAGCTGTAATTTTTGAAGCTCAAAAACACGACTTTCAATAAGTGACCTCTTTCAAAGCCAAGGCTACAATAAATGCAATCTTTAACCCATTCGACCCGTAAGGGTGACTGACCAGCATCTAATTTCTCCTATCAATATCACTCCTGAATCAAACATTAGAGTCACGAGAACAAAGGAATTGATCACCAACCAAGGAGGCTCTGGATTGTTGAAAAAATTTCTCCTAGTCAGCACCTTGGGGAACGTATAGAGAACAGTGCGGAGAAAATGCATACTGATGGTAGGGTGTTAAGGCTATATTGGACGGAACACAAGTGTGACTATTGAAGGCTATATTTGACGGAACACAGTGTGACTGTAGAAGTGAATGCTAATGCATTTTTTCAAGGCGTTTTAAGCCCGTGACAGTGAGAGATAAAACGTAGCCCTTCCGTTGCACTACACTTCTACGACGTTGTTTCGGAACATTGTACGCACTTGCTGATTTTCCTGCGACAGCAATAAATAGCTTCTGTTTGGCGATATAAACAGTTTGTATGATCACACCAATTTCTAGAAATTCACCCCTGAGCCGTGTGTACATTACAACTCTGATATTTCCTTGATCTTAGTGCTTTTGGATTTCTTTCTTAATCATTTAACTCTTAAGATCTAATTGTTAATTCTCTCCTCTAGCTGCTAGACAATTCCTTGTAAATTAGTTACAAGAATTTTGTGTTAGATCAAGATAACTTCTACCTTATAAGTTTTAGTATTACACGACTCGGGCAGTCAGAGGGGCAGTAACTAAAATCAACCAATCAAAATGCTCTATTGCCGGTCAATATTCTCTAAGTATTCTCATGACCTGATTGCTGGATGATGTATGGATATTAAGGGGAGAGGTTACATGTTAATCCCTTCTGGGAGTTAAAGGGTTATTAAAATTAAACAGTTTGCATTACGGTAGACAGACCTGGGACTGAAACTGGTGGTTCCGAAGTTATCGTATATTAACAAGATTATTTCTCTGACACTAAAGTTTATCCAGTTTACCTCTCCATAAATATCCAATCTGCTGACTTTAAGGCCTGAGGCTGCGAGCTGTGCGATCTTGAATTTAACCTGTGATAAATTCATATGGAACTAAACACAAGTACTAAAAGGAGTTGTGGGGAGGGGGGAGACGGGGGAGACGGGGGAAAGGTAGGGTTAGGTTTTTTGTTTGACTTCACTGTCAGACTAAGGTACAGTAATTTAATCCAGTACTATCTCCATGCAAAGTAGCGTGAAACTCAACAAATTGTGAAAGTTGAAAATGTTACGTCTTCTTTCTCGTTTTGAACCTGCTTCTTGAACAAAAAATCGCAAAAAAATTAGTTCTTGGCAGAAGAAAAACAATTACCATGCGTATTATCCTCATGCTTCATGGAAGGTAGGTAAATATGTAACATGAGTCCTACATAAACAGGCTGCTGGGATCAGCAGAATGCACGCGCCTTGTTTGGCGATGAACTGCTTTTCACGCAGCACAAAATTTAAGGTTGCGAGTTAAAAGGAAGACCACTTACAGAGATTGTACAAGATTCATCGGGTGGAGGGAGTCCAGTCTGAAGTGACATCTGAGAGAAAAAAAAAACCCTCAATTTTAGTAATTGTTGAGCTACAACTTACCTCTTTCACACTTTCGTCAATGACCTGGAGCTAACCCTAAACAACATGCCAGCCCTCTTTAAATATGCAGACGACTCGACTATCCCAGTTCCCGTGTGGAAGAACAAAGATTGTCGTATCGACTTAGTTGGACAGTTCCTCGCCTGGTCGGATAACAACCAGATGAACAGCAATCTTAAATAGTGCATGGAAATGATAATACGTAAGAAAGGTTTCCGGAAAACAACATCCAACAATGCACCAAACTACATATGCTTGGCATTCTGTTCCAAGGAAACGGCAAATTTAACCAAAACACAAATATCAAGCTAACAAAAGCAAAATAATGTGTCTCCATGTAATCAGAACCTTAAGGAAGGGATAACACAAGAAGAGGTGGACCATCTTTTTAACTGTATAGTACTTCCATATTGCTATTACAGTATATGGCTTATCTGATTCAGATCTGAACACAATTCAAAACTTTTTAGACAGATGTTTTAAAATAAATCATACTTCGATTAAGCTGACAGATCGAGATGTTTTAGCACAGGCTGATAATATATATATATATATA